GAAAGTAGAATATTTGCTTATGGAGGTATAAAGAAACTCTTGGAACCCACCCAGCGGCTGCTGCATCTGCAGGGGCAGCCTTGAAAACCCAGAGAACAGGGCACTTTGCAAAGTGTCACCAGGAGCCAGGAACGACTTGACAGCACATCTTGCTGTATAGTTCGGGGGATGATCAAGTATTCAATAGGGTAGTTAACAATGTAAACCGCGGTAAATTTCCCCCCTTCTTTCTTAGAGGCAGCCTTGTATCACTCAGACTTCATCTTCTTTCTCCTTGCCTGGACACTGGGCTCTCACTATTGTCCAGCTCCCACCTTTCCTCAAGACATGCAGGGAAACACTGTTTCAAGGTCACTTTACCTGTTCCTATTGCCCAGAATTCTCTCCCCCTATATATTCACATCTTAATTCAAAGACCACTTTTTCAGTGGGGCACTTCCTAGCCACTTTTATTTTTTAAATAGCTAATTATTATTTTCCTTATTTCTCCTTTATTAATAGCTTTTTCATTTGACGTGTCTTTTTTTTTTTGCAAAGACAAAAGTTCATGTATTACTGAGTAATCCTGAAAGTCCACAGTTTTTGGGAAATGAACAAATAACACCTAATTTTCATTACCACTCAAGCTGCCCAACAAGTCTATTCCTGAGCAGTATTCTGGAATGCTGAGATTTAATATTTTCTTCTGTTGTTGTTGTTGTTTTGAACTTGTATGCAAATTTGTTTTGGAGTATTTTTTTAAATCATTTTATTGGGGGCTCATACAACGCTTATCACAATCCATACATCTATCCATTGTGTCAAGCACATTTGTATTGGCATGTGTCTTATGTTGTCTATTTCCCCAACTCTGTTCACTGCTGCATCCCAAACCACCACCTAGAAAAGTGCCTGGCATTCAAATAAATATTAACAGACGTCCTTTCAGAAGCACTTAACATAGGAATAGAGTAAGGTAACTGCTACTGAGATAAATTTCAATTTCTGAACCATAAAATGCCATGGATTGGCCTAAAACAAGCATGATGAAAGAAAAATCTACATATAGAATTCCTACAAAAAGTCTAATAGAAATATGGACAAGGGAAACAGACAACACGGAACATACAAAATAGACTATTAACAGATGTAAAAGCATTCAAGCTTAGAGAATTACCCAGTCTAGGGAAGTGTATGGGGTGGGGGGGTGGAATAAGAAAAAGGCACTGCAGCTGGCATTTCAAGCAGAAGTCAAATTCAGAGTTAGGTTAGTGCCTAATGAAAATCGTTTGGAGGGGCCCAGCTGAGTCCATTTTGCAAGTCTAGTGGACATCCACTTCCAAAGTGCAAAGAGGCTTCTGTGTCTTAAATGAGTCCCTAATAAATAGCTGGCTTGTGTAAAGGAGCCAGGTGTCCTAAAATACTGAAGTTCCAATCAACATAGAGCACTGTCTATTCTCCACATAAAATAAGGTGACCAAGACACCTGTGTATTCAAGTTCCCTCTGGGGAATAGCCATTCAATAGAGAAACAAAACCAAAACGTTCCCCTTTTGCTAAACACAGTGTTGTATTTCAGTAATCTAAATATGCCAATGCAAAAGACTTGACAACTCACCCAGGGTCTGATGAAACAAACAAGATACAGGTATTACCCAGCTTTTCAAAATTTCATTTCACACCACTGTGCTTTTACAAAAGATCTACATTAGTACCTGTTTTCTCCAATAAAAAAAAAACTAGAATTTTCACCTTTACTATAAAAGATGAAAAGTAGAACCAGTATTTGTTTTTCGGTGAGCTGCTGAGGAGGCTGAGTGCACCCTGGAGCGGTAAAAGTGGTGTTGCCGCACCCCTTGCCTGGGAAGTACAATCTACATAGTTCATTTCTACTTCATAGCCTGGGTATTTATCAGATAAACCTGGCTTCTACCATCTATTAGTGTGATTTCTAGATTTTGTGTTATTTAAGATGATCTGGCAGGTTATATTTCGTGAGTCTGAGAACAGTAAAAAAACTTACCCATATGAATTAACAGTAGTTGCTTCTTTGCTTTACATATTTCATAGCTTCTGAAAGGTTTCATAAAACACCACTTTCAGATAATGGGGGAAACCTGTACTTACAGGGTTATCATCATACCATGTAGCATTTAAATAAAGCAGAAATTCAGAAATACGGGAAAACATGTATAAGCATCTGTATTAGAAAATAAAACAACAAATGATTACCTAAAGGGAGACCGGAGTGGATGGCATCAGGAATGGGAACCAAGTGTTAAAGAACTTTTCTTGCTGACTTCCAGTCATTTAGAAAAATATAAATCCTGAGTGTTCAGGATTTCAATTCCATCATGCTTAGCAGTACAATGAACCCTCGTTTATCGCGGTTAATTGGTTCTAGACCCTACCGTGATAAATGAAATTCCGCGAAGTAGGATTCCTTATTTGTAAATCAATTATTTTCGTAGTTAGAGCATAGAGGACATGAAAAAACACCCTTTAGTCACCATTACACTCGTATTACCCAATTTATTAAACGAAAAAGGGAAAATACAGTAAAACATTTTGGACGTTACAATTATCATTTATTATATTATTTATGGCATCAAGCGTGTACAGTATGAGCCAATCAGTGGCAGTAATGAGAGCATGCGCTGTTACGCAAAAACCGCGATAGAGTGAAGCCGCGGAAGTCAAAGCGCGAAGTGGCGAGGGTTCACTGTAGTGCTTTTCTGAAGGGCCACGTCAATATTTCTCAAAATGTAGATGTATAAACCATCCTATGATCTACATCTAGGTCATCCATCCTAGAGAAATACTTGCATAGGCGCATCACGTAGTGTAAGAACAGGCTTTACATGAGGCTAAGTATTGATACTGCAGTTCTAGTTCATATATGCAGGGACCTGATTCCAAACAAAACACGTTTAAGCATGCCTTGTGATCAGTGGATGGCTGCAGACAAGTTCTCTCAGAAATACATTTACTTATTTTTTTAGTCTCACTAGGTGCCTTTCCCGCAAAAGAAGGTCAAATCACAGTGGCTTCTGAGGGGATCTTGAGTAAAACTCAAAGCAGAGTCGTCCACTTTGGTTGTAGCAACTGTTTGGGGCATTCCTAAGGGATAATTGTTGATAGATTTTCTCAAAGGACACAAGATCAAGAGGACTTGTTCTGAGGAACTTTTAGGAAAACTGAAAGTTGCATTGGTGAGAAAAGGCCAGCAAAGTGGTGCTGAGAATTTTTCCCCATGAGACAATGCACCCCACCCCCCGCCACACACACACACACATTTGACTAACAAGTTCTATGAGAATTCTGTTGAGAGCGTACCTCATCCACCCTGATCCTAACCTTTCAGATTTCCTTTTGTTCCCCAAACTCAAAAAATCTTTCAACGAAATACAGTGAGTTCTTCAAGGATGCCCACACTGCCAATTTGACACTGGGTAAAGGGAGAAGCATAGAATTCTTTGGGGGAAGGTCAGAAAGATGGAAACAATGTCTTCAGAAATACAAAGACCAAGAAGGAAGATGTGGGGATAGTTTTATATTTTGCTATTTTTGCTTAATAAAGGTTTCTATGATTTCATTGTAGTATTTTTGCATAAAAAACTGTAAATAATCTACTCACTGACGATTGAAAATCACAATTCTATCATATAGTGGGACCCAGTAAGAGTTAAATAGAATGACACCAAGGTCAACTGGCAAAACATGTACAAATAAAGACAACTGCTACATCTACTTTGTTGAGTAGGAAATGGAATAGTAAAAGCAGCTCTTTCTCTCTGTGTGCCCAGAGGAAAAAAGAGTGATGAAAATAAAAAACACATGGGAACAATTAGCCCAATGGACTAAAGGAACCATGCAAACAAGCCCCTGCAGATGTACCAACTGCTCTAGAAGGGTCAGGATAGAGAAGAAAAATGTGCAACAAAAAACGCAAGATCATAAAAAAAGACCAGGCTTACAGGTCAGACAGAAACTGGTGGAACCTGAGAGACTATGGCTCTAAGTCACCCTGAAAGTCTGGAACTAAACTCCCTTCCATGGCTCAATTTTCAGTCAAGCAATAGGCAGGTCTATAAGGAGAGTAATAACACTTGGGAGATCCACACAGCTCACTATTAACCAACTATCTGAGATCCAAAGAGCAGCATTTCTCAAGGGCAAAGCTCAGATGGGTTAGGAAAGGAGGAATGGAACTGGGAAATACAGGGAGGAAATAGGCTAAGTAATAGCAATCAATGAGATGAAACAAAATGAATACGGTTACTAACAACTAATTTGCTCTGTAAACCTTCAGCCAGTAGGTCAATGCTTACGATGACAGTACCACCAGGCTCATTAAGTAACAGAAGAAAAAAAAGTTTTACAGAGAATGAGGTCATCTATGGATGTTGATGTGATTATGGATGTTTGAGAGATTATCAAAACATATTGTTTAAAGTTGCAAAATAAGAGCCCATATGTAAAAGAGGACCAATAACGATGGTTAGTTGTGGAAGGAAGCAGTTAAGGCTTCTTCTATACCCTACAGTATCATTTAAAAGTATCCAACCCACTGATGTTGAGTCGATTCCAATTCAGTGACCCTACAGGACAGAATAGAACTGCCCCATGAGCTGTAAATCTTTATGCAAAAACAATGCCACCCACATGGCCAGTAGGTAAACCATGGACTTACCTAGTAGCTGGGCATTTAAACACTGCACCACCATTACGCCTAATATTCAAATAGCATCCAAAGAAATTTAAGAACTTTCAAGTTCAGAGTGATTTTGAGTGTTAAGTTTTATACTAGACTGTTGAATTTTGAGTATTAGTCAATCAGTGATTACATTCAAATAAAATCTGTATCAAATGTTCATATAGGAGCCCATTTTTAGAACGTTTACTCTAAAAAGAAATTTACTTCATCATACCACATGCTAGTCTCAGAATAAACCATCTACACACAAAGGGACAATGGAAGTGTTTAATTAAAAGTTAAATTTGTGAAAAAGTCCAAATGACCCACCGTAAGAATGAAGACCTTACCTTTTTTAGTATTGCTGCATTAACATTTGGTAAAGGAACTGGATCATCATCTCCTTCATCATCCATTCCCAAATCTAAAAACAAAACAAAACCATAAGATTCTCCATTATTTCCTCATTCCATTATAATACTCACACCAACCAGGCTGTTTCAAATAAATAATGTAAAAGACATATCTCAGAAAATAAAACTATTGTCATGCTGTCAATTCTGACTCAAACCAACTCTACAGGGCAGAGCACAAGTGCTCCTGAGTGTTTCCCAGACTGCCAACCTTTATGAGAGCAGACTGCCTCGTCTTTCACCCACAGAACAACTGGCTGGTCTGAACCACCTAGTCCAACAGATAACACCATGTGAAGTCCACAAATGCAGGAGCATTCTATAAAGGGAGTTCTAATTTGGAGGAAAATGTACTTCATAAACTGGATTGAGATGAATGGATAAGTATCTGGAAAAATATTAAAGCTGACGCTTTGGTATTCGTACTCTTTATACCAAATTGTCGAGGTAAGCTGTACTCAGAACCTCAACTTACTCTTATGTGAAGCTGTGTGTACACAACAGATCACACAGCCACCAGCAAAAACACGGCTAGCAGCTCTATACATACTGAAATCATTTCTTTCAGGTTTTAGCAGTATATAATTACGTTTAAAGTGTCTCCTATAGGACACATAAAGAACTTTAACAAATGGTTTATCTTGTGCATGTTATTACCTATAAATAAATAATCTATAGGTTTCCCTGCGAAGATGACTTAACTTTCAGACTCTCAGCGTGGTCAGTGGATCCCAAAGAAAAACTTATGATCTACAGTACATAAAGACTCCAAATATTCCTCAAATGCATCTGCTGTGCAGTTTCTACTTGACTATCAAGAGATGCTACCTAAGTTATTTAATTTTAATTTCATTAAGTTAATTAAGTGGGCATTGAGTCGATGCTACAGGGTCATCATAGTGACCCTGTAGGACAGGGAATTGTCCATCCCTGGGAGTTTTTTCAAAGATTGTAACTCTTTGTGAGAGTAAAAGCCCGTCTTTCTCCTGCTGATCTTGCAGACTACAGCCCAATGAGTAACCATTATGTCACCAGGACTCCAAGTCACTTAGTAGTAAGTACCAAAATTAAATACCAACAGTAATTACAGCAGTGTATTGGTTGTAGCAGAGTATCATTGATGCAAACATGACCAGTGTTAAGTAAAATACTTAAGTTCATAACATATGTTAGGTGCTGTACTAGGAAATGAAGATTCAGGAGTGTGTAGCATGTTCTAGAAACACTTAAGAGCTGGGTGGAGAGCAGATGACCTCATACAACAAGGAGCTCAAACAAAGAGCTCAATAGTAAAAGATCCTGGTAAATTTTGGCTGCTGTCATGGGAGATGAGGGTTGGAGATAAGGCTAATAATCCAGAAACAAAATGGTGGCTTGGACAAAGTTGGTAGCTAAGGAGAAGTGGACTCATTCTACGTGCATCTTAAAGACGGAACCAGCAGGATTTGCCAGCAGATGGGAAACAGAAAGAACATGAGTGATATCTCAAGGATAACTCAGGTTTATGTCATAAGCAACTGGAAGGATGGAATTGCCATCAATTAACTTGGGCAAGGTTGTCAGGGAACTGCATGTTTGAGTTGGGAGAGGGATCAAGAACTCTGCAGCCTAAGTCTAAGTAAAATGTCTATGTATTAGATATCCAAGGGGGACAGTGACAGAGACCAGAACAATAGATAAGTTGTGAATTTGCATATAAATGGGTTATAATGCTATGATAACACTAGACAAGATAACCAATGGAATGAGTAAAGATACAATTTAGAGACCAATGGATCAAGTCCTGGGGGAATTGCGACCTTTAAAGATGGGAAGACAGAGGTTATAAGTGGAGGTAAGGGAAACATCTTAGAAGGCATGTAAAGAAGTGATCAAATATAGGTCTATATGCTAAGTAAAAAATGACAATATTTGATAATATGAAGGTCAAATTTGACAGGCATTTCCAATGGAAGGAAATGACCCCGTCTCAGCTGAAACTGGCAATGTCTTTTCAAACTCAACTTGAATCATGTTTTTCCCAAGCTAGTACATTTTCAGTCAAAGTATAGGAAAAGAAGTTATAAAATACAAGTACATGGGGAAGTAAGACATTACAGGAAATATAATACAGAACACTAGAGCCTGTAAGGCCAAAGTCACATGAAAAATAAGGACAGTGTGGTTATAAAGGACTACTTCTCTAGCATTTAAACTGAAGCCGTGCTTTCCTGCTTTTAGACTGAATGCACAAGTAGCAACAGCCATTCCTTCTAGCTATTTAGTTTCCGGAACTTCTGACAGACATCTGTATCCTGACACCACTCCTGGGACCTGAACAAATCAGCCAATCCACATGTACACATGCCAAGATTTTCTCTTCTGATTGTCCTGAGTTTAAAAGGTTTTATTTTTTGTTTTCTAAATCACATAAAACCCCAAACGAGAAATACTGCAGACACAAAACAAGGAAAGCAGTTTTGTTCCTCATGAGTTCATTAGCCTCAAGAGGCTAGAATCCTATATAAGTCATCTTACTTAAGATAAAGCCAGATCTCCAAAGGCTAAGGAGGAAAGAATAATTTAACTGTTATCATTAGCTGACCGAAGACCTGGTGGTGTTATGCACAAGGGTTACGCACAAGGCTGCTGACCACCTAAGGCCCGCAGTTCCAACCTATCAGCTGCCCTGTGGGAGAACAATGAGACTTCTGCTCCAGTAAAGATTTACAGCCTTAAAAATCCCCCAGGGGCAGTTCTGCTCTGTCTGAAGATTCACTGTCAGAATCGACTAAGTGGCAGGGAACTCTGAGTTTACCAGCTTACTTGCGTGGCTTAGAAAACCTACAAGGAGTCCTATGACTTTCAAATGCCAAATGCTTCTTTGAAGCAACATAGGACAGATTAGCGTGTCATTCACTAATTAAGGTGAAATAAAAAACACTTTCACTGCTCAATTTTGGTATCAGTTTCTACATCTTCTAGATAAAGCCTTACTCATCTGCCTTAGTAATACCGTTTCTCCGAAAATAAGACAGTGTCTTATATTAATTTTTGCTCCCAAAGATGCGCTAGGTCTTATTTTTCCATGAAGAATACGGTACACATTTGTTTATTGCTTATTAAAAGAGACCCTGCACTTCCTGTCTGCTCCGGCTGCGCTGCGGCCAACAGTGAGCTGTGTGCCGCACGGTCCAGAGTCCAGAGTTACGGCAGCTTCAGGGGGCCTTATTTTCTGGGGTGGGGGTGGGGTGCCTTATATTTCAGCGACAGGCAAAACTGTATGTAGGTCTTATTTTCAGGGGATGTCTTAAACTTTTGGGGAAACAGGGTAGGTGGATTGCTTTCACACTATGAGAATGACCATACCATAGTTCTGTATTCAACAGGCACTTGATGAACAGTGACTGAGATATACTAAGGGGTTTACAACTTCATAGAAAAAAATCTAAGTATTCAAGGCATCAGGATACAGGACTCTAATTGCCACATGCCTGGTATCAATTACCAAAAAGAATTTTATGTTTAGCTTTTATCAGAAAACAAATCACATACTCAGACACAATCGTGGTGATGATAGTAGAATACAACTCTTCTTGATTTGATTAAGCTATCTAAAGTTTATATGTGAATTCTATGCCAATAAAACGGTTGGAGAAAAAACAGAAGACACTGAAATTCTGTCTCTGCCATACCTAAATATCTGTTAGGCCTAGCCTCTGCCACACCTCAATACATTAGCAGTCCTAATTTCTTCTCTTAAATCCCTCTAATTCTTTCTACAGTTGATACCCCACCACTTCCTTCTGACTTCGACACTCTTAATGACCAATATGACCACCCCACTGCCTGTACCCAACATGGCTGCCAGCCAAATTCATCTACTCCCATAACCTGCCACATAGAGCAAGTCTATCTCTAGCAGTCTACAACTCAGGGGCTAAGAGCCACAGAATACAACTGCCTAGATGGCTACCTAAATCTTTTGAAGAAACCACAAACATAACATCTTCAAGCATAAAGTCATTTCTCCTCCATTCTTCTCAAATTTGTTCTCCTATTCTGCCAACTCCAGTATCATAATCTCATTCCTATCCCATAATAAAAAACCCAACTATACTTTCCCCTAATATGCTCTATCTACTCCATCTCAGAATGATCTCTGGGAGCACCCAAATTTTGAACTCTCACCTCACTAGTAATATATATCATTCTCTCCCCACAGATCTGAGAGTAACACCAGTCTAGATGTAACCCACAGTGCCTCTGAGCATATACACACATTAGTGTACACAGCCCTTAAAGCAAAACCATACTTTAGCTACCTTTTTTCACCAACATATACCTATGTCTGACATCTAACTCCACTCTTATTATCTATAAAGCATAGCTTTTGATTTCTCTAAATACTTCCGGCATTTTTTGTCTAGAATATTCTTCACTATTAGAAAGTTACATTTTAAGTTTCAAATATTTCAGGATCTGCTCACCTTTTTGTTGGGCTGCATATACACTTTACAGTAATTTCTTAGGAGTGACAAAATACAAACAAAAGAAAAACTTATTAAACACACACACAGAGACATCTACTTAGCTTACCCTTTGACACAAGAAGCTTGCTTCAAAAGATGCTCTATAATACAGTACTATGTGAGAAAGTATACATTTTCTGGAAGATTTCATTTATCATTAGAAATTTAAAATTATTTGAAACAGAATGGCCCTTGTCTGAGACTTGGAAATTGTGTTAACTCCTGGCCTCATCCACTTAATCAGGAAACAAAAGCCCTAATTCAAACAACATAGAAAGGGTGACCTGCATCAGAACAACGTATTTAATAAAGAAAAATGCGTGACTTTTACCCCTTCTTCTCCTTGAGCATCTGTGGGAAATAACTGCTCCTACAAATTCAATATTCATGTTGTCGCATATACGTTTCATCTTCTTTCTTCGCTCCCATGTTTTCTAATAAACTTACCTTCCAACATGGTCTTGATAGTCACAGATTGCTTGGCAATTTCCACATCGACTTCAAATATCTCTCCATCAGAACTCTGCAACTTAATTGAAGGCATCTAAAAAGGGTATCATGATGAATTTAAAGGGTATTAGTGAGTCAGTTCTTTTAAAATTTTTTTTGTTTTTGAGTCAGTTCTATATGATACTTTATCACATAGTTTGCCAAAAAATCTTTAACTTTTCTATAAAATACTAAGAATCTGCATTATGTAACCCTGTAAAACACAGCGGTTATTTCCCAGATAGCCTGTACCTTTCTACAGAAACTATTCCAAAGTATTATTTCTTGGAAGAGAAGCACTTAAGGCTTGCCTTATTGATGTGAATTATATTTTAAATGTCTGGGCAGGCACCATCAGCCTCAGTGAAGGTTTGCAGGTCGCTATGATGCAGATCATGCCCCAGGGGCGTTTCCAGAACAAGACTAAATAGAAAGGCCTGGCAATCCACTTCTGAAAAACCACCAATGAAAACCCCACAGATCATAATCCACAACCGATCATAAGGGTTGCACACGTAGCTTGCCATCATGACAGACTCCTCAGCAGCTAACAACATGAAAATGGGCCAAATTCTGCCTGCCCTTCTTCTCCCAGTGAGTACTGACCACTCCCCTTGTGAACAGTTCACTGCAAATCAAAGAAAGGTCCACCTACTATTTAAAAAGTCACTAAATTGCGCAGTAAGACCTACTACCAGTGATTTCAGACCTAAAGAACAGATTGGTACACTTATGTTTGGATCAATACAGCATCATATAATTATCATAACTTATTTAGGAGAAGCAGACATCAGTACAATTCCCTAAACTAAGGAGCTGGAATTTCACAGACTTCTTTATCTTTCATTACTGACTATTCAGGTGTCCAAGCTTAAGATCTTCTGCTAAAATTTCCACAATAACCTATTAGTTGCTTTTTAAAAAAATGTATTTACTAACTCAAATTAATTGAGTCATTAGGAAAACAAAATCCCTTTCATAAATATTAAGCCATTAAGTTCAAAGGACTTGAGTCCTGGGAAAAAGAAAAATCCCATTAAAATGTGAAGTTCTTAAGGACTATTTTGTCTTCAATTTTTTTTTTTAAGACTAGCAATACCTGACTGTAAAGATTAATTCAAAACCTCTTTTTGAAACCCCCACAGAGAGCTTTCAGATGCTTCTGATGTATTCATAATTCTGTGTGTGATATCACTATTTACTACCTTAAAGAACCTGAGGATGCCTTCAAGCTATATTATATTAAACCTTGTGAGTTTGCATACAAGCATGGGATTTAAAACACTTACTGCACTCACCCTAGGCTCAAAGACATGACCTAACGCATCAGTTAAAATGTTCACTTTGCTGAGACCACTGTCCCCATTTCTCAAATAGCCAAGCAGTTAAGGAACCAAAAAGGTACACCTCTGCTTAAAACCAGCCACTGAAACAGCCTGCTGTCATGGTTGGGGAGCATCGGATTTCACTTATCAGTTTATAAACATACCTACTCCTCCATGTTGCTTCGTGGTTGCCAACACAGGTGAAACCCCAAAGTCAGTTAAATGTTTTAGTAATAGGTAATACCACCCACTTGAGGGGGAGCCGGGTGAGGAGGCTACAAAAGCATTATCTATACTTTATCCTGAATTATGGGCTGTAGTACAAAAAAGTATTAATTGCCAGAAGGGTGCTGATAAAATTTTTTCTGAAAGGGGGAAGTAGGCCAAGTAAGTCTGGCAAACTATAGTCTTAGTAGTGTACCTTTTTATGCATGAAAACCATTAAAGTAATACTCCCAAAGCACCTTTAACATTGTAAAACAGCAATGTTTTGATGCTCGCTGCCAAGCAGCACTCCTTTTGCTATGGTGGATCACTGTTTAAACCAAGAGTTTTTTTATAACCCAGGGAATGCATCTCTTATAATGGAGAAGAGCAGAGCTGAACTGGCCAGCAGAGAACCCTCCTTCTGGCAAGGCAAGCACGGACGGTATCCAGCAAAACGAAGTATTTTAACACTTGCCCAATTGTAACTTGCAAAGCATGTTCATGCTCTTTCATTAGCCGTACTGGAAGGAACATTCCAGGATCAAAGTCTGACAATGCAGTTGATACAATTACCTTGAAGCATATTTCTTTCAAACAGCTCACAAGAAATACCAAGATCTGCTTGGTCACAGTCAAATTTGGTATTGGGTTACTCTCCAGGGAGCTGAGATCTTATTCAATAGCAGGAGGCAATCAATCCGTTAATCTGTAACGTGATGCACTTTGTAATCCTAGACTTACTCAAAGATAACTTTTTCTTCTTTTCTCTCTTAGTGTTATACTGCTGGAACTAACTGCACAATTTTCAGGTAAAAAGGGATGGAATTTTAATCTGACATGCCTTCCAGACCTTCCCTGCCATCTTTTTGGTCCCTTAGAAATGAAACCGCCCTCTCAAAACAAACCAAGCGCTGCCAACAAGTCGACTCGACTCATAATCACATCACAAGGGGCAAGAAAACCGAAAAACAAGCAAGCCCGCGCTTGTTTTAAATTCGGACCCCTCTTTGGAGACTGCAAGGTGAAGGGGCCGGCATTGTTCGACATCCGCTGGTGACGCGCCATTGAACAGTCCATCTTGCCGCAAGACCCGCACCTGAAATTTCCAGTAAGAAGTGAACCCAAGCCAGAGACTGCGTGTTAACTTTTACAGTTAGGGTTCCGAAGGCGGACCTCTACGACGAGGCGAGCTGCGATGTAGAACACTTGTCTACTCGGCTCCAGGCCGTGGCAACACAATGGGGAAAAATATTCAGAAGGAGGGTTAGCTGCTGGCAAAGACTGGGCCCCGAGACACAGCGCAACCGGCCAGGACCGGTCGCTAGTGCTGCCAGATCCACTGCGGAGAGAAAGGACGGGAGCCGCGAACCCAGCGCTCCCACATGACACCACCGCCTCACCCCCCCCGCCCCCTCCCCAGACATGGACACACGTCCACTGCTAAAGAACCCCCAATTCAAAGCCTCATCGCCACCCCGCCTAGGTCCCCGGGCCAGCAGGTTCAACGCCAGCAGTCTGTGGTCTTGTCCTGGGCCTCGCGGCCGGCCGGACTCTGCGCCGGTGGACGCTCGCCTCACGCAAAAATGGCCCACCCCGGGGCTCGGCTCGCA